CTTTTTATAGGTGAGTTGAGTTCATTAATATTAAGTGATATTAATGACCAGTGGTTGTTGACTCCGGTTATTTTTTTATTTTTAATTTTGTGTAGTAGAGTTTGTGTGTTTCCCTTCTTTGAAACTTGTTGTGCTTGTGAAGGGTCGCTAGATGTCTGAGTTATTGTAGGCAGTGTTGGCAATGTTAGATTCCTTCGGTTGCGGTTTTCCTTCTATTACTTTCTGTAAGGCCGTATTTGTGGCTACGAATTGTTTAAATTTGCTTTTATCCTGGAATATTTTGTTTTCTCCATTGATAGTGAACGATAGCTTGTCTGGGTATAGTAATCTGGGCTTGCATCCATGGTCTCTTAGTTTCTGCAGTACCTCTATCCAGGACCTTCTGGCTTTCATGGTTTCCATAGAGAAGTCTGGTGTAAGTGTGATAGGTTTACCTTTATAAGTTACTTGACCTTTTTTCTTTGCAGCTCTTAATATTCTTTCTTTAATCTGTATGTTTTGTGTTTTGATTATTATATGGCGAGGGGATGATTTTTTTGATCCAGTCTATTCGGTGTTCTGTATGCTTCTTGAACCTTCATAGAAATATCGTTCTTTAGGTTGGGAAAGTTTTCTTCTATAATTTTGTTGAATATATTTTCTGGGCCTTTGACTTGCAATTCTCCTTCTTCTATCCCTATTATTCTTAGGTTTTTTTTTTTATTATGTCCCAAATTTCTTGAATGCTTTGTGATGAGAATATGTTGGATTTGCTGTTTTCTTAGGTCAGAGCGTTTATTTTCTCTATGGTGTCTTCAGAATCTGAGATTTGTTCTTTTATATCTTGTATTCTATTGGTTATGCTTGATTCTGTAGTCCCTGTTCGTTTACCTAGATTTTCCATATCCAGCCAGCCCTTGGTTTGTGTTTTCTTCATTGCCTCCATTTCAGTTTTCAATTCTTGAACTGTTTCCATTACCCGTTTGATTGTTTTTTCTTGGTTTCCCAGGGTATCATTTACGGTTTCCCTGGACAGCAGAGGAGAGGGTGCCTGAACTGGCCTTGGCCCATAACCATACTGATGAACATTTTGCATATCACCATAGAACCTTCATCTGGCGATGGAGATAGAGACAGAGACCCACACTGGAACACTGGACTTAACTCCCTAGGTCCAAATGAGAAGCAGAAGCAGGGAGAACGTGAGCAAGGAAGGCAGGATCAGAGGGAACCTTCATCTGACGATGGATGGAGATAGTGACAGAGACCCACATTGAAGCACTGGACTGAGCCCACAAGGTCCAAATGAGGAGCAGAAGGAGGGAGAACATGAACAAGGAAGTCAGGACTGCGAGGGGTGCGTTCACTCACTGATACAAGGGAACTGATCTAATGAGAGCTCACCAAAGCCAGCTGGACTAGGACTGAACGAACATGTGATCAAACCGGATTCTCTGAATGTGCCTGACACGGGGAATGTCTGAGAAGCCATTGATAATGGCACTGGGACTTCTTTCGTCTGCATGTCTGCATGTGCTGGCTTTTTGGGATCCTAGTCTGTTTGGATGCTCACCTTCCTAAACCTGGAGGGAGGCGGGAGGAACTTGAACTTCCCACAGGGCAGGAAACCCTGACTGCTCTTAGGACTGGAGAGGGAGGGGGAGAGGGAGTGGGGGGAGTGGGAGGGTATTGGGAGGAGGGGCGAAAGTGGAAATTTTTATAAATTAACAAAAAAATTTAAAAAATTGTCAAGGCACACTACAAAATATGTCAAAATATTTTAAAATAACATGTATCAACATATTAAAATTTAAAATATTAAAAAATTACCTTGGCAAAAGGAATATAATGAGCATATGGTACAGGGTATGTGCTGGTGGGTAGCAGAAGACATAATGGGAAGCCCTGTGAACTGTTGGAGCAGAGTACTGTTTCATAGCAAATGGGGGCTAACCTGTTCGTGTTCTTACTCTGTAATTCAAATACAGTTAGCAGTTCTCCTATTCTAAACAACAACAACAACAACAAAAAACCCAATGACAATATTACAATGTTACTTTGTGTTTAAGAGAAAGCTGATTGAAATTTTTACAGGCTGAAAGAATTATCACAGATAGCTTAGTGATGAGCACTTAGTCAGTGGTTAATATGTAGATACTTGATGAATTTGGGACTGAAGCAGATTGGACTAGCACAGGGGTAGCCTTTCTGACCAAGGTTTCCCCTGAGAATCAAATGAAAATTCAAGCCTAGCAGAAGGACTATGCAGCCACAAAAGTTTGGTACATATTTGTCAGGGGATCCTGGTATCTCTGATGTGACATCTTTAACTCCAAGTTGGAAACTTCCAAACTAGAAGAAACATTGCAAATATTGTTTGGTAGAGCTTTAGAGACAGAAAGGCAGAAGTCATGTATTTGCTCATATCTCATGGTGACATCCCATTCTTTGAATGACTTTACAATGGAAAGTATATCTCTCTAAACATTATTGGAGTCTATTGCTAGAAGACTCCAGGCCATCTCTATCATCAAGATTTGGAATATTTTCATAGTAGTTGACCCAATGAAAACATAGCTTTCTTATTTTTTTTGCAGGCTGTTCCTACCAGAATTTAAACACATGAAGACCTATGTCTCTGTTGGTAACAGCCATGAGCCTTAGTTCCAGAGTATCTATTATTAGCTTCTAAATAAGTAATTCATTTAGTAATTTTAATGCATGTCAACTACTCATTCATTTCATATATTTGTGTGATACATTATGAATTCAGAGTTCTTTAGAAAATCAATGATTGCTCAACAAAAACTTGAATGGCTGTGTATTACTGCATTATAGAGGACTTCTATAACAATCTAAAGTGGCTAGCATTTCATCTAGTTTTTTTCCCCGAACTTTATGAATTTATTATGTATTTTCTGTAAAGTTCTGAAACCACACAGCATTTATACCTCAGAATTATAATAGAGAATGATATATTGTGATAATGTTTTAGTCATTTTAAAAAATAGATGTCAGCTCTTCTTGGTATGTTTGGGCACTGGTAAGGAGTGGTATTTAATGGTGAACTACATGTATCTGTATGTGTATTCTTGGTTTAACAGTGAACTATTCATAGTACTGAAAACTCTTCCATAAGAAATGTATTGCTTCATGTCTTTAATTGGGAACAGTGTTATAAGCTGGCTATCATGGTTGACATGTATTCTTGGTGAAGTACAATCCTATGTTTTTATATCATTTGAAGACAATGCTTAATAACTATATATTATATATATATATAACATATATATATATATGATACTTACCTAGAATTAATGAGTAGATCTCCAAAAAGAACAAGCTTTATGTAATCTAGTTGATAATTTTGGAGGAAGGGCTGAATCTAAGTTGAATGAAAATGTCTCTAAGTTTGATGCCCAGATCAAATCAAACTATGGAGCATAAATTCGGCATAGATGATAGGTAAATCACCTGGGTAAGATAACTTTGGAAGAGAATTCTCTTAGTTGGCTAAATTGAATAACCAATAATATTCTATTCATCATTTAAGAGATTTTCATGAATGAAATTTACAATTCCTTAGAAAAATAATGTAAAGTTTGTAATGAAATAATTTTTTCTTCTAGAAATTGATTTTAAAAGTTGATGTGTATGTCTGTGTGTGGGTATGTGCATGAAGGCAGGTACCCATGGAGACTAAAGGTAATAGATTCCTTAAAGACTGAGTTCTAGAAGATTGTGTTCTAGTAAACTTCAGCACTCATGAACAGAACTAGGTATTACGGAAGTGAAGTAAGTACTCTCAACTGTTGAGCTGCTTTCCAGCCTCTAGACATCTATATATTCATTCTACTTTTCTAGTATATTTTCTAGTATAACCATTGAAAAGGTCAGATTTTATTTAACCCCAAATAGTCTCTATAGACCATGTTAATGAGACATTATTAACATTTATAATACATTAAGTTAATTTTAAATAAATGGAAACATTCCAGGATCTTGATTTTAGTAAAGGCACAGTTTATTGAACTGTAGGACAATGGATGAAATTCGGTGTTTTAGAACTTACCGTTTCTAGCTGTAAGAGGTCAGTAAGATTTCGTAGCATCTTTGCTTAACCAAGTGACTCACTTCCCATACTAGGTAGACTGATTTGCTTTACAGCCTTCACTTATGGTCCATGTATGAAGTGATGGAGAAGTTGACCTTAACATTGAGTGTTGTTTGATAATGTCACAGAAGATTTGTGTGTGTAATAAAGAATTTGCAATTATACTTAAGTCAGCAAGATGCAATTTTTGATTGTGTTCTTTAAACTAACCTTTTTCTGTAAGGTTTGGCTTTTTGAAACACTACAATGGCTACATTTTTGGTAACTGAACTAACTTGAAGGTATCTTTTCATTTTTCTCCCAAATGTATTCTTATATAACATTTCCAAAACAAACAATCGGTGATCTGAAAGCTAGAGGCAGTGCTGCTTTAAATCCAAATGTTTTTCTTTTAAGAGATTCAAACTTCAGAACTAGTAGTTTTAAAACTCTTCTTACTAGGGGATTTATTTTTGTTTTGTTTTGTTGTTAAGACATTCACAGTTTTATAGGGTCATATTTCAGGAATCATCCTTCTGATTGTAAAAAAGATCTACTCAGAAATTTGGCTGTGGCTTTCAAACTCAAAGACATGGTTCTGTTTTTTTTTCTTTAATTAAAAATAAACATCAATATGAAGTTAATATTTTCTTAAGTTTCCATCACCAGGAGTGTTTCCCATTATAAAGAAATTAAACAACAGTAGTGATAACAACTGGAGCTACTGGATTTGTGATAAAGTATGACTAATTACTCATTTTCGCTGCATAGATTGTATTTGTTATTTCTTTCTCCTTTATTCCTAAACATTCTTAACACAATGGACATTCACCAAACTCCTAGAGATAAATTTAGATGCAAGTAACAAGTCTTGTGATTCAAGGTCCACAAATAAAAATAACACACCACCACAACCTGACCACGGATATATTGTTTGAATGACAGGGAGTACTTTAATGATCAGATTAATTTAAAAAATACCAGTTACATAGTTCACTTCAGACATAGAATTTCTGAGTGTAGATCTCTGCACTGCTTTAGTCTAAAGATGATTTTAAAATACCCATTATTTCTTTCATAAAATTACTTTATTTGCTGAAGATTAAAAAGGAAACAGTGATTAAGTTCTTATTTATTTCAGGCACAAAACTGAACATAATTTATTAAGGAAATGCTCATTAACTGCAAATGTTTAATGCAAGTCATATTTTAAGCGCGTGTTACCCCACTTCTAGTGACAATAAAATCTTAGCTTGCTCTAGCAGCACATACACTAAGTATTGGATAGGTGATGAAACCTTACATAGAAAACAACAGGGCCCTGTACAAGATGCACACCTCACAAATAAGCCATGATCATCCATATTTTAAATGTATGTGATACCACATAATAAGAATGGTTCCTATTAGAGATTGTCTGCCTAAAAATTGATTCATTTCTAAAACTGACATGAGGTTTTATCTTATACAAATTGCTATATGAAGTATGAACTGCTTACACTATGATATGTGTAGTATGACAAATGAATCTCCTAAATTTTCCAACTCTTATTTGTGGATGGGAACCCATGTAAATGTTTAAGAAGAGAAGTCACCATCATTAACAAACATAGGGTGCCCATGAGATCATGCTTATGTTTTGTGAACAAAAGGTAGCTACTCCTTCAATCTTGAATTTCAAGATTAAGTAATTATATTCTCCAATTTTGATGGGATATTTGAGAGCAACTCTTCAATTGCAGAATTTAAAAAGAATTACTCTGAACATCATTATCTGTATATGGCATGCTTTGTCTGAATTATCATATGCTTATTTTTAAAATGTGATATTATATATGACAAAATTATATATTAGACTATATAATATTTATTTTAGTATATGTTTTTAAGAAATTAAAATACATCCTTATTAGTTTTCATAGAAGTGCCTTAGAGGAATTCTTTTGAATGTAGGGAAAGTACGTCTAAATTGATTGGCATGTTCCATATTTATTGATTTTATGTTCTGTGGAATTAGTAACATAAAAGTTATCAAAGTTTTGCTTTTTAGATTCTTTAATTTTGAACATATTGTGAGGCAAGGTATTTTGGGATTGCATTTTATTTAGTTTTCTGATTTGATTATACATTTGAAACCAAAGAAAACTCCCAATTATTTTTATCATTTTCTTTTGTACAAGCTTGCCATTAACTCTCCATGGTTCATAATTTTAATATAGAAAAAATATGCAAATTTTCTTTCTGTAATAATCTTCATGTGCTTAATATAAGAAATGGCATTATTGAAAGTTGTATGCAAAATATGTTAAAATACTAATATATATGTATTATAATAACACTAATATGATAAATAAATAAAATCAAATGCAGTCTTTATAACACAGCTGCATACTTTTCAAAGGATTATGTGGGATACTTCCAGGAAAAAGAGTATCACTACAATGAATTGGTGTTCACTTTAACAGCCAATAGTAGAATAAACTTGGTACCAAACAAAGAGTCTATATAGGATACCTGGTTTAATAGTTTTAAATTTATAGTACTTGTGTGAAGGCGTAAGTCAAGATGATTTTTCTTGACCACACTTGAAAACTGACTTGAATAATTACTGAGACTAAATTTTAGTGCACTTTATAAAAAAATGTTACTTTCATAGAAATGAAGAAATACAATTGTACGATGGTGGTTACATTGATAGAAATACATACTGCCAAAAAATGTCAGCAAGGGATTTATAAATGGTTGCACAGCACCGCATCAGAGAATGTGGTAACAGCAACATGATTGATAGTATTTTCCATATAAATAAACTCTTTAAATCTTTTTGTAGAAATAAATGCAGGGGAGGTGCTTTTCTTTTACCTTAATTCCTATGAAAATATTTCTGGACATAGATAGAGCAAGAGACAGTAAAAAAATTACAGTTCAGAAAAGAAGACATTCATGCATTTAAGCCACCATTAGTCTGATTCTAATACAAGGCAGACCATTAATCTTTTGCAAAACTATGACTCTAGCCACTTAAACTCTGGTTAGTGCTTTGCATGACAAGGGCATGATAGGCCCTGTAAGTTTAGGAGTTAAGATGTGTTTCTAACACGTTAGCTTAGACAAACACTTTTTGAAACTCCAAATATACAATAAAATACTTTGCTTTGGAGAAACGATGACACGTCATTCAAGGAGAAAAAAAAAACAAACACAGAAAGGTTTCTATAGAGTTTATCATGAATGACAGTGTAGGTAGATAAAAATAAATGACATGTGCTTATGTGTCATCTTCAGTTTTAATGATGTGGAACAGGGTCACATTGAACAGGACCTGGTGGCCATTGTTCCAGGCGTAAAGAGCTCTATCTCTAGCATTGTAGTCAAGCATGGATATGTGAAAGTATTGGTTATGGAAGGGGATGTCTGTGTACTCATATGTGGAAGTTTTTGTGGAGTAGGAATAATACACTTTGGCTCCAGTTAAGTGAGAATTTGTGACATACAGCGTCCCACAGATCATGAAGGACTCCCCTGCACTTCTCTTGGGATAGCCAGTGCTCCAGCTCTTCGTCACCTCCAGCGTGTCTTGGTTAAGCTGGCTGATGACAATATTGCCTGCATTTTGGTTCGTTGCATACACGGCCCACAGTCCAATTTCATCAGCCATGAGGTCAATGTCGGAGAATCCACCCCACGTGTAGGGGTATACGTTGTGAAAGCCAGCATACTCCAGGCTTCGCTGGGCTAACACTCTCCCTAAATCAAAGCTGTATTTGATGATGATATTACTCTGATACTTGTTAAAATAGAGTGAGCCGTTGTAGACAACATGGTTAGTTCCTGCCCACTTGAAAGGAAGGTTGTATGTCCTTGATTCAGCTCCGCTGACGAAGTCTGCAATGGACTTGTATTCACGGACTATTTTATTGTTGGTGTAACTGTCCATATACCAGACCTGAAAATAAGGGGGAGAAAACAAGAGAATCAAATGGAGTGATTAAATTGTGGACTTTTACAAAATTTTAAAATAAAGGTAGTTACAAAGTTTCAAATTTTGGATGCCAAATGCTCTTACTTATAACCGGTTCAAATGTGGTAACATTGCCAGCCCTTGTAAAGATATTGTATGGAGGGTCAGCAAAACGACTCAGTAAGTAAAGATGCTGTCAAGACTAACAAGCTGAATTCCATCCCCCAAATTCAAATGGTAGAAATCAAGAATCACGGTGTTCCTCTGACTTTTCTATATATGCGACATGGAAACACACATAGATACATCAATTTTTTAGAAAAGAATATTTGTATATAAAAAAGCTGATTTTGCTACCTTTCAATTAACTTGTTTTCTTTTTATCTTATTTCTGGCTATTTAGTGCCTATTCCTGGCCAAACCCATCACATGTTATTCCAAAGAATGTCTCCTAATGTAACAACTGTAAGGTTTTATCTTTGTCCGGCACTTACTCTAAAAATGTCTATTTTATTTTACTAGCCAAACCTATGGTTAGCTTGTGGTTACCACAGAATCTTCTAGTGACCATTATTTATTGGATTTTCTTGTAGATTTTAGTGAAACCATTGCATTAATTTAATAAAAACTCTCATTTGGATATGACTATTAAGAACCTTAATTCATAATTAATTCATTACCTAGTAGGATTATAATAAGTTATTACTATATTTAATTGCATAATCCAGATATTGTACACCGATAAAAACACCCTCACTCATTTCCATTGTATTTCTTTTGTAATTATCTCCAGTAATATAATGATTTACATAATAAACTGGTTCATTACTTAGTGCTCAGGGTTTTTAATATAAAGATCATATTTCTTACGGAATATTCAGGAAATTGTATATGACCATGATTCATACATTTCAAACATAAATGAAGACTAAATTCAATAACAATTAGCCTACACTACACTGAAAATTGTAAGAACAAATTACTAAAATAGGTTTGTTCCACAAGTTAGATATATCAACAGTTTTAACTGAAAAATATCAAGAAATAAAGCTCTTTACATCATAACCAATATCATGAATAAAAAGAATGGCCTGGAAGAAATAGTATAGGAGAAACATAATTATAAGCAAAAGCCCTGATAGAAGCAACATACTCTGTTATGTTTTTCAGATGCTAAGGGGTCTGTCATCCAAGCACCAAATCGTGTTCCAGATGTCTTGACTGTGATGGGGCCTGTGATCTTCATCAATTTTCCACATGCTGAAATTAGAGGAACATAAACATGTTGGTTGAACACAGTCATTGAGTTTTATACAAACTTAGAAGAAAGCAAAGTGGCGGGGAATATAAGGCATAGTAAATCTGTGAAATGAATGTCACATGTTCTGATTGAATGAGCATCATGTTGACTATAATGTATTTAATCGCTCAAAGGAGCCATGACTTGTTATTTCAATGCTTTTTATGTAAAGTATAATACTATAGGAAAGAATGGTTCATATGACCTGAAAAGAAATAAAGGAGAAAAGTCATTATCGTTATATTAGTCCTTGTTTATTCTAAGTAAAACTGTTGTAAACGTTGGTTACTTTCTTTTTGTTTTTCATTTTAAGACTTTATTTTCATTGAAATATACTCCTTTTTAATTGGAAATTGGTTCTTCTCTCACACATTACATTCCTATCACAATTCCCGCCCTCCACCCTTCCCAGTTCCCTCCAGCTCTCATCTTCCCCAGAAGCATCCTCTCTCGCTTTCAGAAAACAATAGGCCTCCAAGCTGAACCGGACAAAACAAGATACAATAAGACAAACTGAAAGTCCTCTTAGGGAAGTTGGACAAGGCAACCTAATAGGAGGAAAAGAGTCCCAAGTATAGGCAAAAGCTTCAAACACGTACTTGCTCCTACTGGTACCAGTCATGTTTGTTTGTTTATCAGCCACCTAATTCTCTTACCCTCTCTTATGTTTTATGGTCATTGAAAGTATAAAACTTAGATAGAACTCTGAAGGCGATTTTTAATATATAATGAACAATATTAATTTCATGAAAAATATATGTATATATATATATATATTTAATACCTTTACTAATATTTATATTTATATATGTAGTCATATTGGCTGTGGATATATCTTAAGCAGCTGAGGTTTCATAAATGCCGGAACCAGAACCAGAACCAAAGGGCAAACACCTTTATGGATTTTTAAATAGAAGAATTTAGAAGTAATTTATCATACACATTAATTTTTCTATTGAAATGTTGACTTTTATAACACAACAGTGACAATTCAATCATAGACTCCCTGAAAGTTGTAGAATTTTGAGGTTTCCATTATACAGATAAAAGGACTTCATAGAGCAGGCACGGACATGCAAAGAACAAAACCTTATTATCTCAGGTTTTCAGACAGACAGAGAAGATATAATGAAAGTCTCAGGAACCCAAAGTATAATGAACAACATTAATTTCATGAAAAATATATGTGTATATATATATATTAAATATATATACTAATATTTATATATGTAGTCATGTTGGCTATGGATATGTCTTAAGTAGCTGAGGTTTCATAAATGCCAGAACGAAAGGGCAAACATTTTTTATGAATTTTTAAATAGAGTTTAGAAGTAATTTATCATACACATTTTCAAAAACCATTTGCCTATAAATATTTAACTTTGATCTAAACAAAGAAATAGCCTTCCTATCTATTTATTAATTTTTTTCTATTTTTGTCATTTATTTAATATTTTTCTATCATCCTCTGGCTAATGTAAAAATTGATAAATGTCTAGTTTATTGCCTTTAGCACCTATGTCTTTGGATGAAAAGAGGAAATGCTCAAGGCAAATCATGGACAAAAGCAATCTAGCTTGGAGCTTATTTTGACTCATGTTTTTCTCTGTATGTTCCTCATAAGAATAATTTGTAACTGGTAGGGTACCAAGATGCCTAGTTGGAAAGATGAAGCATGTGAATGTGTTTTGTTTTGTTATTGCTTCAGTAACTACACATTCTGTAATCCCTAACATTTTTAGGATACCTGAATTGGAATCCTGTTCCAATTTTTTTGAAAGGAATTATATGTGATCTCACCTCTGTTAAGTTTATCATTTTTAAGATTTCTAAGGCTCAGTTTATCAAGAGAGTACTAGTGATTCATGAGATTGAATACCATATTTCTATATATCCCTATCTATCTATCTATCTATCTATCTATCTATCTATCTATCTATCTATCTATCTATCATCTATCTATCTATCTATCTATCTATCTATCTATCTACCTATCTATCTATCTATCTATCTACCTATCTATATAGCTTGGGTTAAGACTACTTGGAATATGGCAGTTCAAATGGTTTTCAACACATAAAAACATATGAGCAAAGTAGTATCCATCTGAAGTACAGAAATGATAATGTATTTTGAATAGACCCAGTTGAGTAGATGATATGAATATATAGTTTGTCAAAGTAATGTTTAATGATGTCACACATAAACATTTATAAATGAACATATGAAAAAAATGGAAATTTTTAGTGTACATAGATTGAGATAAAAATATATCCCTTGCTCCAATTAAACCACAGAACTATATAGGTGTGTTTTTTTTTCCCTGAAAGATGGAAGATAATTCTGGCTTGAAATGATGGACTTATATCTGCTTTTAGCTCTTCTATTTTCTGATTTCAATAAAACTACAGTGGAGTATAGCACTGAACTTTTTTAATCCCAAAGACAGGGGAAAAAGCACAAAGAGCTATTTGTAGACAACTTTCAACAAATCCCTCAAAGGCACACATGACAGAGAGCAGTCATGCAAGATTTGGAACGAGATGTGTCAGCTCGTGCAGAGGATATTATGGTTGAAGGAGATGCATTAACATTACCTTGAAAAGTGAAATATGGACTCAGAAAAGTACGGAGAGAACATTTGGAGTGTTCTAGCAAACTGAAAGCGTCGACACTACTGAAAGAACGTTAAGAACAATTGATTCCATTTTATTCCCTAAATGTAGGGCTCCAAACCAAGTCAACGCACCTGCAAAACTGTGTGTTAGATTTAAAGTGGATAATGTAAATTTGGGAGGCCCAAGGAAAAAGTGTCAAGCTTTATGTAAATACTTAAAGTGACCGGGGGGATTATTGCTCAAAATTGTAAAGTTAATAGATAACACAAATAGCTTGAAAATTGTGATAAAACAATAAGATATTAAAAGACATTATTCTGATAAAAGACAATGCAGAGAGTACATGAGACCGTTCCCCCTTCAGACACTTCTGTACTTAACATTTAGGCAATGAGAAAAAGACTTAAGAAATCTATTACTAAATGAAAACTATGATTCCATTTTACAAAATCAGGTGTAAGAGTAAAACTATTTTCCCCACACTAAAAAATGTTAACACTGAAAAAGGGGGAGGAGAAATGAGACCGAGTATTGGTTCAAATGTCTAAGTAAAAATTATAGACTAGGAAGAGACACAGAAAGAGTAGGGGAAATTAAACAAATTTGCTGAAGTACCTGTAATAAAATTACTGTGAAAAGCAAGATAGTTAAGAAAAAGACATTCAAGATGATTACATGTAAACAAGTAGGAATTAGATTGCAACTGAGCTTTTCAACACCATACTGAGTCCTGGAATGCAATAAGGACCCAGGCCTTTGTACTGAAGAAGAAAAACCAAGTAAAACAATGTACAATCTTTTCTGCTGTGCACCATTTCAGAACTCTATTTTCCGTACAGTTTCTTAAGAAATTATTTGAAGATATATTCCAGTGAACACGTTATTAACTGAGCAGAGAAGGAAGCAAGACAAGGAAAACAATGAGTTCTTGTATGATGAAAACTGCACAGGAGACTTTGAGAAATCTTCCAGAACAGACAACTCGAAGAGAAGGACTCATATTATGTTTGTGGAAATGTCAATTAATGCAGCCATCCTGAAAATTATACCGATTTTTACAGATACAGGTATGTTTAATATGATTTAAACACCACAATATGCATATATATATGCATATGTGTGTGTGGACATCATATTATTACCACTATGATCAATTTGAAGATTATAGTATCAGTTAACATTTTTGTTAAAAAAAAAGGTGAGTGAATTTGATTTTTAGATGGACTTGGATTATAAAGAAAGATATATTTACTTTAAGTGCTTGGGTGTTTATTGGCATATATGTGTGCACCAAAGGTGGAGCATTCCCAGAAGTCAGAACAGGACATGGGATCCTCAGGAACTGGAGCTACAGATGCTTGTGAGCCAGCATTGAGTGTTGAGAACTGAACCTGTGTCCTTTGTAAGAGTAACAGGTATGTTTAACTGCTGAGGGATCTTTCCAGCATAAGATTGCAACTTTCGAAAAAAATATGAATAGGTGAAGATAATGACTTAATTTTTAACTTTGTGAGACTGTGTCTTACTATTTAGCTCAGTCTGGCCTGGAATTCACTATGTAGATCAGGCTGGCCTTGAACACACAGAGATCCCCATGACTTTTTCCCCCCAATGCTGGGAATAAAGGTATGCACTATTCCAGCTGATTTATGGATATATATTGAAGTAGATATTATTTAATGTCCCAGATATTACAGTATTAGATTTATAGAGAAAGAACTTATGTTTAAGTCTATCACTTAGCTTTGTTCTGATTTTAGAAGAGGCAAAATTTGCCTAGTGATAGCAAAAAGAGATTAAGTTCATATCGTTAAGAAATACAACTATGAGAATAGATGCTATAAGAGAATGACTGTCTCCATTTTCAAAACACCTATAATAACAAAATATTTCTCTATTGAAGATTAAAAATCTCTGTCTTGAAGCCACAAGTAGTCTGATTTTGGTCAATATTCATGAGTTGTCATAAAAACATACTAGGTAGAGATATGAAGAAAATAAACCCAAGAGACAGATGTTATCTCAGTTTTCAGCTAACAAAATCGGATGTCATCAAATAATATCTGTGGTTGAACTAAAAGTAGAAAATAAATTTATTATTCAAAATGCTGTTGTAACCAATACTATGCCCTAAAATTAAACTGTTAAATGGGTTAAACTCTGGGGAAAGGAACCAAAAGAGAACGTTGAGTTAGAACCATTCTAACTCTTTAAAAAAATTTTAAGCATACTATTTTTGCCATATGTGTGTAATATTTAAATTGTAATTTATATTGTTATAGTGGTTATTAAAACCTCATAGTCACCAGATTGGAAAAGTTAAAAAAACTGCATTTATACAT